TTTTTTTTTTTTTCCAAGGTAAACAAGAAACTTATATAACTCAGAAATAGAGTACTAGTACATACGAGCAATCAAATGATTACACCCCTGAGAAATCGAAAGATTACAACAGGAACCGGGGAAGTGTGAAACTCCCCCTCTAAGGACCAATAAGGTCCAACCCTACGACAATTAAAACATCAAACAATCTACAATATTACAAGAATCAAACAGAAGAAGAATTTCCTCCACCAAAGCTCTATGCTGAGAGTTAAAATCCACAGATTTGTTCAGCAATTTCACTGCAGTCCCATTGTTAACATAACAAATGCCAGATTGGCCATGCACCTCTTGATATTTCCTTAAGCTCCATCTGACAGCCAGAAGAGAAGCTTCTGTGCTATCTGTATTCTCTGAAACACTTGCCAGCTTGTCCTCCCAATGCAATTGATTGTTGAACTTATCCATGCCTATGCAGTTCACTTCAAACTCACTTTCTTCAAATGGCTGAGCACTGATGGCCAACCATGGCCTTCCTACTCTCCCAGAGGCACCATTTGAAGTGAGTTCATCCCCTCTCTGCAGCTTAAATGAGTCCCATTCCAGCCATTCTGCCTGAGCTTTCCTCACAATGTCTAGCTCATTGAACCAGTCTCCCTTGAAGACCCATTTGTTTCTGGCCTTCCATAGATTCCATAACAAATGTACAGTGTATGTCACCCTGTTCATCAGATTTGCAGATTTGTTCTTTGAACAGACCTCCATCCACCAATGTTGGAAATTAACAGACTCACCATTCAACAAGTTCCAATCAACCTCACTAATCTTCCAACAGATTTTGGATTTTTGACACTTGAAAAATAGATGAGATAGATCTTCAACCCCTTCCCCACAGATTTTGCAAATGACATCTATATCAATCCCTTTTCTAAGCAAGTGATCAGCTACCCCAATAAACCCAAACCAACACTTCCAGAGGAAGAATTTGATTTTGGGTTTGATGTTTAAATGCCAGGTAGTCAGCCACATTTTCTTCCACCACCTAGGGGAGCCACTAGAAGAAGCTTGCTGCTGACCTTTACCTTTATTGTTGAGGATGGTTTGATAAACCACTTTAGTAGTGAACACCCTTTTTTTATCCCAATGCCAAATTAACCTATCCCCCTTTTTCTGAGTGGATAAAGGGATCCTAAGGATGTGAGCTGCATCTGTAGAATCAAAGGTTTGCAGAATAAGCTCTTTATCCCATTCTCTACCCCCCTGCTTGATCAAATCACTAACCCACTAGACCCTACTTTTATCCCCCCAGAAGCAGCATCTCGGTTTAAAAGAAGAGTTGTTAGGGATCCAAGGAGACTCCCAGACCCTAATGGACCTACCATTCCCCACCTCATACCTAGCACCTAACTTAAGGGACTGTCTAGCACTCAACCAGCTTTTCCAAAGCCAAGAATCCCCATTCTTGGCTTGGACATCCATAAGGCTTCTATCCCAAAAGTATTTACCTTTCATCACTCTACTCACCAACAGGTTAGGAGATGTTTGAATTCAACATAACTGTTTAACAAGAAGAGACTCATTGAAAACCCTAAAATCTCTAAATCCCAGACCCCCCTCTTCCTTAGACCTAGACATCTTCTCCCAATCAACCCAATGAATCCTATTACCCCCCATATCATTTTTTCCCCACCAAAAATTGGCAATGTCCCTACAAATTTGGTTGATAATGGTAATGGGAACTCTGAAACATGCCATGACATAAGTAGGCAGAGCACTCAATACAGCTTTAATCATAATCTCTCTCCCTGAATCACTCAAAAATTTGTTTTTCCAGCTCAAAATCTTGTTCCTCACACAGTCACTCACAAATTTGAAGGTTTCTTTCTTAGATCTCCCTATCCCTAAAGGCAGACCCAAATACCTAGAGGATTTGACTCTATTAATACTAGATAAGATTCCACAGATTTGTGCCTGAGTGCCCTCAGAGGTATTTTTAGAAAACAAGATGGAGGATTTGTCAAAGTTTACAGCTTGCCCAGATTCACACCCATATTTAGCCAGAATATCAAAAACAAGAAAAGCATGCTTCAAATCAGCCTTACAGAACAGAAGTGAGTCATCTGCAAAGAAAAGGTGACTCACTGTGGGAGCATGCCTACCAATTTTGATGCCAAGAAATTGACCTGAGTTGCTGGCTTGGTGGATAAGATTTGAAAGAGCTTCTGAAATGATGATAAACAGGTAGGGAGATAGAGGATCTCCCTGCCTTAGGCCCCTAGTGGGTTGTAAATAGCCAAGCACAGAACCATTCAAATTGAAAGAGTAAGAGGCAGTACACACACAAGCAAGTATCCAAGATATGAAAATTTCACAAAAACCCATTTTTCTGCAGACTTTAACAAGGAAAGACCATTCCACACTGTCATAGGCCTTAGCCATATCAAGTTTAATGGCCATAAAATTCTGATTACCTTTTCTTTTACTGTTCAAGAAATGCACACACTCATTAGCTATAATGACATTGTCTAGAATTTGCCTACCAGGAACAAAAGCTGATTGAGCACTGGAAATGCAGTTAGGTAACACAGTTTTTAACCTGTTAGCCAAAATTTTAGCAATCAACTTATAAATCACACTGCACAAGCTAATAGGCCTAAAGTCAATGACTCTAGAAGGATTTTTCTTCTTAGGTATCAGAGTAATGACAGCATGATTAATCCCCTTAGGCATCTTACCAGAACTAAAGAAATTATGCACAGCTAGACATACATGGTGTTTGACAATGGACCAGGACTTTTGAAAAAAACATGCAGTAAAACCGTCCTCACCAGGGGCTTTATCCTGGTCCATTTGAAAAAGGGCATTCTCAATTTCCTCATCAGTCAGACTACTAGTCAAGGTGTCATTCATCTCAGGAGTGATATTTCTGGGAATACCCTCTAAGCTGCAATTGTTATCCAGGGGATTAGAGGACTGAAACAGTCTCTCAAAATAATGCCTGATCTCACTAAGCAACTCCCCTTAATTCTGACATCTAGAGCCATCAGCTTTAACAATGTTATCAAGAGAATTAGATTTTCTCCTTTGATTAACACAAGCATGAAAGAACTTAGAGTTCTTGTCCCCTTCTCTAAGCCAAGTTATCCTAGATTTCTGTCTCCAGAAGAGCTCTTCACTTTCATAAGCTAATTGGGACTCAATCTTGCACCTATTCCACTCACTCCAATCTCTATCACCCCCAAGAGCCCTAAGGCTCTCTAATTTCACCCTGCATTCTTCTATCTTGCATCTAGCATTACCCCTCACCCTCTTCTTCCACTTAATGATAGCATTTCTAACATTCTTCAATCTCTGTTGAATGCTAAATAATGCATGACCAGGCACAATAAAATTCCAAGCTTCAACCACAATGTCATTGAAGCCTTCAGATTTGAGCCATCTGGCATCAAAGACAAACCTATTCTTTCTACCCTCACAACCCGGGTTGCTATCAAATAACAGAATGGAGTGATCAGAGGAAGCAACAGGGATAATTTTAATAAGGGAATTGGGAAATAGATCAAGCCAATTTTGAGAAAACAGGAATCTATCAAGTTTTTCTTCAATAGCTTGGTCCCCCTTTCTATTATTAGTCCAAGTGAAGGGATGTCCAATGACATTAGCTTCACTGACCCCCAAACAAGAGATAAGATTTCTAAAATCCAGGAAGCTAGATTCCTCCCTCCTAATGCCTCCTAATTTCTCTGAGTGATCAATAATGTCATTGAAATCACCACAGATAAACCAAGAGGACCCCCAATATAAGCTATGTCTAATAATGACCTCCCACTGAGAGCTTCTAATCTCCCTACTTGTACTAGCATAAATGAAAATACCCCAAAACACATCAGAATTACCAGCAAAGGAGAATTTGACTTCAAGACCAAAATCAGAGGGAATAATATCCAAAACCATAATTTTATCAGACCAATACAAAAACAACCCCCCTTTATAACCCACAGGTTTCAAATAAAACCAATTATCTACTAACTTAAGTTTTTTACACACAGATTCTACAAATTTTTTTTTTTTTTTTTTTTTTTTTTTTTTGTTTCTGAAAGAAACACAAAATCAGGGAGATGGATTCTCATGGAATCCTTAAGATGGGAAATTGTAGAGGGTCCTCCCAATCCTCTACAATTCCACACCAGAGCTTTCATTGGAAACTCTGGGACCAGTTATGGCTGGTTTCCTCCACCAAAGCAATGTTTGATTTAGCCCCCATTTTAGGGTTTTTGGCCCCTGAGTTACCTTTATCAGAATCCTCGGCTATATTAGATAACACCTCATTAGTTCTTTTATTATTCCCCTTTCCCAGCCCCTTTTTACTGACATTGGGTTCATCAATATGCATTTGTTCAGGAGCAACGAGCCTACTGGTACTCACTTCCTTTGTGCTAGCTGTTTTTTTCCTATGGACAATTCTTCTACCACTGGTAGAAGCCTGCACATTAACCTCCACCAGGTTAGCATCAACATGAACCTCAGGTTCCTTGTTAAGGATACTGGGTTTTTGAGTCAAGGAATCAGAGACCAAAACCACCTTAGATAGGTTAGGGTTCTCAGACCCCTCCCCTTCTAGGTTGGTTTTACCCTTCACAGCATTGCTGGAAGGAGAGGGACTATGGATGTTCCCCGAGCTACATTTATCACCAACCACACTTTTGGCTATGGGGTGAGTAGGGGTGGGGATAGTGGCCTCTGTACTAGCTTGGCTACCCAGATTGACCCCACTGAAACTCCTATAAGAACTATTAGGGGAGCTGCCAATTCTCAGCCATTCTCCATATTGACCCAACTGAAGTTCATTATTATCTATGTCTGTGTTCTTTTTAACACAGCTTCTATCAGAATGGCCAATAATCCCACAATAAAAGCAGAAACTCTGGATATTCTCATATCTAAAGTCCACCCATTTGTTATCCTCCCCCATTTTGATGAATGTGCCTCTCAGAATTGGCTCTGAGAGTGGGAGCTGAACAAGAATATTCATATTCTGGCCATGATAGTTACCTATGCCAGGAACTTGGACATCTAAGACTTTCCCCAACATTCTTCCCAATTTAACCCCAGTGTCAGCAGATAGCCAATGGAGAGGCAAATTTAGTATTTGCACCCAAATTTTAATAATCTCATCCTCTTCACTGAACTCATTGTTCTCAGAGTTCCATGGCTTCAGGAGAAGATATTGACCATCAAAGTTCCATGTCTTACCCTCTAAAATCCTATCTCTATCTTGTTCAAATTGAAATAAGAATTGGAACTTATTATTACCCAGATTCCTGATTGAGAAGGGTTTATCAGTGACCCAAATACTACTGATTGTAGTTTTGAGGCCACTAAAATTAACATTTTTCTCACCAAAAATCTTCCCAATAAGACTCAGACTACAATCCTGCATCCCAATAGCAATATCATCTACTGAAAGAACTAATCCCCCTTCTTCTTTATCAGATAATATAAACCTTTGCAGCTTAGAGGATATATCTTGATCCATCACTACCTAAAAAGACAACCCTAAGCTACAGACAAGCACAAGAGACACCAAAATACAACAAGAGAAACCACTATGAGGGAACTGCCAAAGCAAGCAAAGATCCAAAAAAAGCAATTACAACATACAATAAAGCCACAGAACAAAATAAGAATAAGTGCAAATTGTCACATCTGGAACACCCAGTGAATGAGTACTGCCATAAGCGAACGCAAAGAGAAAAAAAAACCAGCTAAGAACCTGGAAGGGAGAAATCCAGTTTCGACATCGAAAACGAAAGGAACAAACCACACCAGAAACGAGATCAAGAGAAAAAAATGGGCACCTAAGAACACAAATCCTAAAGAGGAACTCGTCTCTAGAAAGAGAAAAACCCTAGATAGAGGGACTCATTGAACTATGCTAGATGAGTTTTGTTATATTTGGAATTTTATTTGAAAGAGTTTTTAAATCTCACAATGAGGTGTCAAGGTCTTATATGAAATTTTGGTTTAGAAAATGTTAGCCCTCTTTTGAATTGAAATTCAAATAATTCCATCTCATATATATATGGTAAGATTTTGGAGCTAAGATGGCTTTGTTATACTATACTTGTGGCATCATAAAACTAAGGTGGTTTGTATGTTGTGTTTCTACTACACTCTAAATACATAATTGTAACAATTTTTTATTACGAACAAATCGACTTGTAAACATTTTTTTTGTCTCAGGGCACAACATATGCTTACGAGTCTTTCTTGAGGCCATGTATCTTCGTGGCTTGTTAAAAATTTTATTTGCCGTTAAATGTGATGCTCGTTTCAAAAAATTGAAGAACAGTGTAAACAACTTCATAACCTGCTTGAAGATCGAAGAGAGGCTGTTGAAATTATTATCTTCCATTCAATATTCTAGCTTCAAACCTTTTCAGGTTCTTACGCCATCAAAGACGTACTGAAGACTTTCGTTTCGTTTCTTCTGTTTTTCATTCAAACACTTTTGTGATCAGTACTTAGGGATTAAGTACAGTTGTTGCTCTTGGGATTCGAGTGATATAAGTCCACGAGACGTAGCCGGGTAAGTAGTTGATAGATTCGAGTATAGTTGTGGCAAGGCTAGAAGGGAGTTCGAGTCGTGTAAGAACAAACTATACAAGTGTGCACAATCGAGTTAACAATGAAAGAGCTCTGTGAGGTAGTGAGACGCTCCCCGAAGAGTTTTTATATTTTGTTGTCCTTCCGCTATTTTCAACTTTTCTGATATTGCAACATTGTTTATTATAATCTCTGTTCTAACGCGAGTTAAGCGCAGTAACTCTAACCGTATACTTGTTAAACACACACACAAATAAATCTCTTTATTATAATATATATATATATATATATATATATATATATATATATATGTATATGTATTTAATCACACATTATTAGAAAGCTCAAAGGGTCATTTAACTATTAATATGAAAAACATGACTGCATGGTTTTATTTATTCCAATGGAGACGGGAGTATTATTTCATCTTTCAATTGCTCCAAGTATGACATAAGAAATTAAATTGAGAGTTTAAGGGAAAAGATAAAGGAATTATGTGCGTTTGAATATAAGATTTTTTTTTTTTAAAAAAAAAAACAAAATTATCTCATCTAAGAAAAGTAACATGAAGTGGAAAAAAATTGATTTTTTTTCTTATTTAAAAAAAGTGAGATAAATTTGAGAAAGAATATGACAAATACATATAATATTGATTAAACTTGATGTAATATAAAATAATAAAATATTATAGTTACAAATATATGATTGTTCTGAGTAATATTTAATCTATATATATATATAATAAGATTTATTATTTTTTAAAAATCACAAGTCAACTCTTCGGTCAAATTCAGACATAATTAATTAGTTTCTTTTAATAAAAACTTTTTTTTGATTAGTTTCGGACATCATTCGCGCACAACATTAATTAAATGCACATCACATTAGTTTGTTACAGTATAAGCCAAGAAAGACACGTCTTAATTTCTTTCGATAAAATTTGAAAATGTCGATATAATTTAAATTGATATGCATGAGACAATTTTTAGGACAGATTATAGAAACAACTAATCCCTTAATTGAAGGATTTAGTATTCAAATTCAAATACACATTATCTATATAGATTTGAACTAATCGGTTGAAACTTTCTACATAATCCAAACTAGTACTGGCCCGTGCGATGCACGGGGTGGTATATCGATCCAAAAATTTTTTAATATGAACATTAAACTTATTGCATTTTATAGATATGATACAAATATAAAATGGAAAAAAACAAATTTAAAACTTCATAATTTAGTAAACACTTCTTTGTACACAACATTTTGGGTCTGATTTGGTGGCAAGTCATCGTCATTACAGACTAATATCTTCAACCCACTTCGATTGGTGACACGGGAGGCAGCAACATATAATTTTCCATGACTGAACACCGACTTCTTAAAAAATAAACCAACATGCAATAACGATTATCTCTGGCTCTTGTTGATAGTCATGGCATACGATACCATAATTGGGAAATTGTCGACTTGAAAGAAACTCTGACATCGGAAGGAGTTATAATCATTCTAGAAATCAACACCTTCTTACCTTCGTGATCCCCAGTCTCTATCCTACACTCAAGAACATAAGCAGATAGTTTTGTCACAACCAACTATGTCCCGTAACATAAACCCATAGAATGATCCATATCCGCAATAACATGACGGGGGTTCCAATCTTCAAATGTAACTGATGATTTGGAACTCGTGCGTATGGATATCAGAAAGAAAATCATTATTAGATTCCGACTTGATGGAATCGACAACATCAACGTCAGTTGACGTTTAGTAATAGTAAATAGTTGATCCAATGCAAATATCAGAAATCATAGTACCTAGTCAAAATAACAGAATTGCAAGATTATTTTCAATTTATTTTTATAATTGATAATTTTAAAAGTACATAATTAATACACAACATTAATAAAAATAATACAGTAATTCAAATTTGATCATATATTAATGCAACTAATGCTGAATATTATAAATGAAAGTAATACAATAATTTTACTAAATTATATACATTTTATATATTCTACTATTACAGAAAAAAAATAATAAATTATTTGTAATTCAAACTTTTTAGATATTTAAATAAATTTTGAATCTAAACGATATTCAACATATATAAATTGTACAAATGTCCATTTTTTTTGAAATATTGGGATAATGAGTCAAAATACAAAATTGTAGTAAAATACCAACCCAATAAAATAAATAAAGCAACCCAATTAATAAAAGGTGGGGCTGCTTCATCAAATTGATGATAAAGGTCCGAGATCTATAGCCCAATCTATATATATGTATTGGAGAAGAGGAACTAACAATTTTTTAAGAAAATAATCTGGGTTTCAGAAAAGGCCCAAAATGTATAAACACAAAATATCAGACGGTCTATTGTTAGACATGTAACGATCAAACGGTTGTAATTTGATAAGAAAGGGTATAAAAGGAAAAAATGTTGTGTACGGTTTCCATATCATTTCACCACACCGATCGCCGTCATTCTTCCCTTTTCGAAAAAAAATAATGAAAAAACCCCCAAAAAATTATGATAAAACCCCAAACTTATAGTAGAGCTAAGGCTGCTCACATGTTATTTCTTACTATTTTCATTTTTGGATCACGAAATCGAATTCCGACTACACAAAGGTTTGTATTTTTTTTTCATTTTTTGTTCAATTAATCATTTTTATAGATCTATCATATATTTAGGTACCTTTTCAGATCTGTTTAAAATTATAATTATTTACTATTTATTTAATCAGAGTTCATATTTTGTGATATCTCAGTGTTTGTTCCTCGTCAGGATGCAAAATCTAATTATTGTTTTTTTGATTTTTTTATGCTATGAGCACTGGACTTCGATTAGAAGAGGCATTTGACGGTAAAATGGAAAGCCGATGTCTGTCGAGATGAGGTAGAATAGTTTTTTACTGATTAAGTTCGAAATCCAAATAAAGATAATAATTTATTGTTAAAATGAAAGGGCAAACACAAAATTTGGTGTTACATAATCCGTCCGGTTCAACTCCAAGCTATTGAGAAAGAAGTCAATCGCCGTCCACTAAAGGTTTGTATATCTGTTTTGCGTTAATTACAACTTATAACTAATTTTTATTGTATTTAGTAAAGAAAGAACATTATTTTTTTAGACATCAAAGATTCATGCGCAAGAATTATCGAAAGTGAAGTTGTGTTGGTAAATAAAATTGAGTATTTTCTTTTAACATGCAGTTCATAAAATGACAAACTTTCGATATCCATGCAAGATAATATATGATCCTTGACCGAGTCGAACAAAATATAAAACTGCAGCTATACACATTGCACGGGTAATCTTCTTCCTATACATATTTCCAGTACAATTTCGCATACATTGATAACCATGTGATAGTTAAGCAAGTAATACAAACAATATTGAAATATTTACCTTGCAATATGTTTTTTTCAGAGGATTTTTTGCTCCTTTTTCTTGGATCCATTAATTGTTGAATTGATCATATCTGATTACAGCAAAGTCTCTAGCAAATTACATGTTAAATGATGATTAGTTTGGTATAGTAAAAAGTAATGAATTTCAAGTATATGCTTTAGTGAACTGAAGCATGAAGGATGACATTGTTTCTTCTAATCCGTTTCTTGAATTCTCTATCTGCTTCTTTATCTGCCGAATTCTCTATCTCCTATCCATAAATTGAATACATGCAATAAATAGATTAATAATGCAAAAACATAAATGTAAAATTTTGTTTGGAGAAATAAAATGTAGACTGTAGATTACCTTGGTTTCTGGTTGTGCTTGTAAATTTATTGCTGTTTTTTTTTTTTGAATTCATTATTTGTTGAACGGACTGGTATTGATTCCGAGTTCATTGAACCCTGTATATTCTTGTATTTCCAACCTTGGTAAACAAAAAAACAATAAAATTATTTTAAAAAACACTTCAAAGATGAAGAAATAAAATGAAGTTCATATGATAGGGGTTCTACTTGCGTGAACCAACTCTGAATCTTCAAATAAGATTTAGAAAGAGCATGTGAAAAGTTTTTGTGAACATAAAGATATCTAAAATGTAGGAGTATGAATATTAAATAGAGAGAATATAGAATAGTTACCTATATATCGGCATCAAGATCTAAAATTTATCAGTAGGAGTACGCATATTCAATATAGAGAATATCGGGTAGTTACTTATATATGGGCCCCAAGAACTTTTATTATAGATTATAGGAAAAATCCCGATCAATGATAGTAAAGGTAGTTCTAAATCTTACATAAATTTAGAATATTAACATATGGTAAACTACTGAAAGATTCGTAAACAAATTATAAAGTATTTTTTTTTTCTATTTCACAATTAATAGATTTAGAATATTAAGATATGGTATCAATTATAATGCTATGGAAATTCAATTATATATTTATTTTCGTAAATAAATAAGTACTATTTTAAATATTAAAATATTGAAATTAATAGATTTGGAATATTAAGATATGGTATCAATTATATTGCTATGAAAATTCAATTGTATATTTATTTTCGTAAATAAATAAGTACTATTTTAAATAATAAAATATTTTATCAAATGTGCAGAATATTTCAATTGCCTATGTAACAATTCGTATATAAATGTCATTATAACTACTATATAATAACAAACATTTAGTAAAACAAAATAATTTAAAATATTGATGTAGAGTTTTTCTAAATTGACCGATTTCAATTGTATGAATAGTTATCGAAAACTGCTTTTGTATTTTGTTGTCTAAATAATTTAAATAATATTATTGACTTTTTTTTGTATACAAATTTAATATTTTTTTAATATATTTTAACGATATATACAATAATTGAGATATAACATAAAAAAAATATTACCTCTTGATCTCATGAAACAGGATATGGAAACAACTCAAGCACTCCCGATCATAAAGCGTTTCAATAAGTCGGATGCAAAATAGTCTGTTGGCCCTACTGACGGAGGAGATTGTATCAAAGAATGGCTGGCATTATATTCTATGTGTATATTGAAATTTCTCTGTACTATTTTCTCTGCACGTTGCGAAGGAGGTGATAAAAAAATGCTATGAATGAACACCCTTTTATACACACTTTTGATATGCACAATTATCTTCATGTAAAATATGGAAAGATTTTGTTAAGATAAAATCCTGAAATTGTTAACAATAAAGAAGGATTGATTTTGATAAGATATTAAATTGATTTTGATAAGGTTGTAACACCCGCCCCTTATTAGGAATTGAAGGGTTTTTAAATATGGAATCACAATTTCAAATTGTTTGGGCGGCACGTGATGCTAAATATAAGAGATGACAAATTAATTCAACCGCAAAATAAGGAATTAGAATTTCAAATTGCACGAAAATTAAGGAATGATTTAAAACAAAAAAAAAAGAATATCAAAATTCATTAATATTCGGATTTTCAAAATACTTTCCACAAATGGAAAGTCAAAGCATCTATTGACCAAATTTTTAAAACTTTCCCTAAATGAATTAATTACCTCCCTCTTTCAATAATTATAGATAATAAAAAAGTTCCTGATGTGTTAGACGATTTTTTTGCACTAATTTAATAAAAATACATTGTTTTACTTTGGTAGAAAGTCTTTTTTTAATTGTTTTTTTCCTTAAGATTCAGTTACACATTATTATCAACCATCAGAATTATATGAACCGTCGGGTCACCGGGTCACTTGTTGAACCGGATAATTAATTTATAAATTTTTAAAATAATATATAGAGTACTTTTGTCATATAAATAATATACATAAAAGTAAAAAATTAAATATTTTGTGTATAAAGTTTGTACATTAAAGTGTTAATAATATGTATCTCATGATAAATATTTACCATATAAACATACATACACAATTTTATTGTTTAAGAAAATAATAAAAAAAAGTGAATATAGCTATTTTCACCTCGTTTTTAAGTCTTTTTAAGTTTTTCACACCGCCCAATAAAAAGCTAAGTTTTTCACCTCAGAAAGTGCGAAAGACATTGTGCGATTAATATGCGACAATTGCGCGATGACATTGTGCGAAAGTTAAAAGTGCGAAGGCATTCGCATATCCTTCGCACTTTCTGGGGTGAAAAAAAGTTGAAGTGCGAAGGCATTGTGCGATGAATATGCGACAGTTATGCAATTGATATGCGACAGTTTTTCGCATAACCTTCGCACGGGGCCCCCCTCAATTTTTTCTTAAAACCATTATATATATATATATATATATATATATATATATATACTATAAAAATGAATAAAAATGTAAAAAAAAAACATGTAGAATATATAAATACTTAAAATTTATCCTCAATCCTATTTTAATTTAAAGTAAATAATATTATTATTTATTGAAAAATATACTAACAATCATTATATTTTACATTTTTGGATAAAATTTTAAAAATATTTATAATAATTTAACTCTTTCGGCCTTTTAATTGTAATTTCAATTTAATGATTTATAAAACTTAGAATTTAGTTGGATTGTTAGATTTTTCGAATGTTAATCAATTGTATATTTGAATGTTGACTTTTTACTTTATTATATTTTATGTAATCACATACAACTTTATTTACTTTTATTAAAAAAATGGTCATTTGATAAGCTCTAGTCAACAATAATGATATGCAATGTGTTCAAATTAAATTAAATTTTGAACATAAAAAACTTATATTTCATAAATTATAGATCTTAAACTTAAATTATAAATACACAAAATCTCATTTTTTTCTTAAAAATAAAAAGTTTGAGGGTGATATGGATTTTAAGTTCTTATAAAAACTTGAAGGTATACACATTAATATCTATAATTATAAGTAAACACAGCTTTATATGAAATGAGCGTGTCTACGTAAATTACAAACTCCTTATTTAACACTTAAAATCGGGCCTGTTATACCACAAATACCCGAACCGCTGGACCGCTCCTCTCGAACCGGGTTGCGTCTCCTTGATCGTCGGTACCTGCAAAACACGCCGGGGGTGGTCCCGGCGCGAACACTCCGACGCTCAAGTCAGTGATGGTCTAGAGAGAAAACGGCAGAGTAACGAGATAGTTTGTGAAAATGTGTGTCGTGTAAAATGAATGAACCTGCTCCCTTTTATAGGAGAGATACGGAGAGTCCCAGTGGGATAAGAAGTCTTCTGCGTATCAAACTCTTAATTAGGTTAAAGGTCTTCTGAATCCCGAGAGTCCTTATTGCTACAGGCTCTTTTGTAACTTGACCACAAAGTCACCTTGAGGTTCTAACCTCCTCGACGCGCACGAGGACCGCCGAACACACGAGGGCTGCCGGCCACCTCCCAGGGCCGAGCACCCGCTGAAGGCCTCGCGCCGAGCACTCGCCCACGCCGGGCACTCGCCTACGCCGAGCATTCACCATACGCCGGTCACTCATCATACCGGGCGATGCCGCGCCAGACACTTCATCCTGTCTACCCCCAATGTCAAGCACTTGAGGGGCGCCGAACACCGTGCGACGCCGAGCACTCCCAATCGCCGACTACCATAATGCTTAACCGGTCCCCTTCATATGGACAATGACGACCGGATCACAACCGGTTCCTCACGAGCCACTACTAACGACCATATCAGGGCCCCTCTGAGTTAAAATCCTAGCTCCGTCACTGCCTTCGCATATGGACAGTTATGCGATGAATATGCGACAGTTTTCGCATAATCTTCGCACTTTCTGGGGTGAAAAACTTAATTTTTTATTGAGCGGTGTGAAAAACTTAATGTATCTTTGTATTTGGGTGAAAAAAAAAATTTTCCCTAAAAAAAATATATATAGATATGAGCCGGGTCAATGCCCCGGGTCGGCCTGAGATTTGTTTTTAGGGATGACAATGAGATTACCAAAAGACCTGAGATTTGTTTTTAGGGATGACAATGTTAAATGGGTGTCTGATCTTATAGATGACAATGGGAGAGTTTGGAATAAAGCTCTGATTCATAACATATTTTCAGTCAAAGAAGCAGAGGAGATTCTACAGCTTCCAATCATCGGTGAACTGGGAAGGAAAGACAAGCTTGTCTGGTCTTTTAACAAGGATGGGAAATTCTCTGTCAAAACTTGCTACAAAGCAATCATGGATCAAAAAGAGCTAACTAAATGTCAACCAGAATCAAGTAGGGGAGCTGTAGCCTTGAAGAAAATCTGGAATAGCATATGGAAAATCAAGATAAAGCCCAAGCTCAGAATCTTCTTGTGGAGGTGTGTTCATGACTCTCTTCCAGTTGCTGAAAAGCTTAAGGTGAAAGGTATCATCCAAGATTCTTGTTGCTCTATATGTGGTGATAAACCTGAAACTTTAATGCATGCTCTTTTTGATTGTGAAAGAGCTCAAAATATCTGAAAAATAGCTGCTGTCAGGTGGGATAATCCCTCGTTTAACACGGATGATTTTAGAGTTGGTGGGATATTCTATGTCATGCCAAAAAAGGTGATTGCTGGGAGGACATGATTGAGCTTACGGTTTATATGTTATGGTGGTTATGGAAAACCAGGAACAACTGGATTTTTGATAAAAAGTTATTACCGAATAAGGAAGTTTCTGATAGGGCAAGGGAAGAATGGCTTGAGTACAAGGATCTAAATGGGCTTTCTCAAGTCTTTAGAGAGTCGGATTTGAATGTTTGTCACACTGTAGGGCAAAAGACAATTTTTGTCAGTGCATGTGTCCTCCTTATGTGGGCAGTGGCTTTGGAGGAATTGTAGTGGAGGAATCAGGGGTTCTTTGTCGAGGCTGGGAAGTGTTTATTGATCAATCGCATGACCATGCCGAAGCTTTGTTACTCGGAATTAAGCACGCCCTTTGGAAAGCTTTCTTATTGAGCTGGAAAAGCATAGCTGTTAGTATTGATGACGAGGATATGGCTCAAGCTCTTCAGGCAGGGAATGTTTTTCAAGGCTCAAGTAGAACAATATCTGAAGACATCTACTCCCTTAACATTCTTTTCGGCTCTTGTTTTTTTTTTTTGTTTAGCTCGCAAGTAGCTTGGGCTGATTCTTGTGCTAGTTTAGCTTTGAATTATGTTATATCTCGTAGCAGCCATGATTGGCCTAATGCTTGCCCGGCTTGGTTGTAATCCCTTTTCGGCCAAGTGCTTTGTTTGATCAGTGGATCATTTGTGTAATTAACGCTTATTTGTGTTTATATGAGTATCGGATCTATCGTTGCTGGAAAAAAAAAAGTTCATGTACGAATAAAAATGACAATACTGAAGGTGATCAATTAAGCAACCGAAAGTAATTGACTTACCAAAAGAAAATTATTTTTTTTAAAGGAAAAAATAAAAAATTAGGGCTTGGAGGGAAAAGAATGAAGAGGTTCGTTCAGTCATCAAAAGTAATTAATTAAGGTGATAAAAATTAGGAAGTGAAGTTCTTTTTTTATATGCCAAAAAATCTTGTTTCTTTTACATTATTTTGTGATTTGATAAGGTCCGGTGCAAACGACTTCGGTTCTAGAGCGGTCCTCCGCTGAAGGATGTGATCTCTTTGTCCGGTGCCCGGCTAGAGTCGGAGCGAGTAGATACCTGCAAATTGACGCCGGAGGTTTTCTGTCGTCAAACCCTCTGAAACTTAAGTTAGTATTGGGAGATTGAGGGAGAAGATGAATAATAAATGTAATTTAGTTGTTTAATAATAAATGTTACTTACCTCCCGTAGTTAATGTGCCAATATATATATAGACACAGATATCTCGTTATTTAGGGTATTACACGTAGTCCGTAGAGCCGGGTATTGTCAAGTGGTTTAACTTGGTTTAACTTATGTTTGTACAATTGACCCCAGTTTATAGCAAGACTAGGTATGAGATCAGTCATGAGAGGTCGATATCTACCGAGACGGATGTAGATAGAGTATAGGGGGGGCTGTTGTCCCCCCCCCCCCCAAGTTTTTAATTTTTTTTACTACATATATATATATATATAAATATTTTACCATAATCATAATCTTTCCTACTACCTAAAATATGTAATACATATTATGAATTTATACATGTATCCCATAATCCTTTCTAAGTACATTATATTTTTCAAATTATTTTTCACACTCTTCAAGTGTAATACTTGATGCTTTTCCTTTTACATTATAGAGATTAATTAAATTGAATGTAAGAGATGGATGATAAGAAATTATAAATAGAAGAGCACGAGTGGTATGCAATTTCACGGAGTCAATAAAAATTGCAAGAACTCTTAGTACTGAGTCAACAATTGATGATTTCGTGATTTGAGATAATGTCAAACACAATTTTGAAATATCAAAGCTGAAAAGATATGTCTTTTGTAGAGCATATTTATTATTTATTTTATCATTTTATAATACAATTCTTTGCCTTATGTCTATATATAAATGTGTAATATATTAATTATATATTCCCTCTAACGTGTTATTGGATTCGAGTCAAGCAGAATACCTTATGATCAAACTCGTTCTTGTACAATAAATGAGTCATCTCATCTTTACTCATTTAATAAATAAACAAAAATGTGCGCTCGAGCTTGTGTCAATTAATAAACAATTTCAGTTAAATATTGTTCATTCTTTAGCTCGTTTACATATATAAACAAGATGAAGTCAAACTTTTATTGGTCAAATCGATTATGTTCACAAACAATTAATTTCGAAACACAACTTCAATCCCCCCCAAAAAAATTTCTGGATCCGCCCCTGGATACCTGGCCTTTATGCAAGAGGTCAACACCCGGTTTACATGTATGAGATCGATACTCGGTCTCTATGTGAGAGGTCTCTATTGTTCTTTTACCCTCTTGGGGGTATTTTGCTTATCTTCAGTTTTACCTAGGTTGCTTAGGTGTCCCTGTTCTAGATTATTCTTATGGCTTGTATGTAAAAACATATTGATTTTGGCCATTTAAGTGGTTCTTGCAGTTATTTTCATTATGTTTGATCTCAGATCCTTTTAAAAGGTTATCACCTTATTTGTTAATTAACAAAGTTGTGTTATTTTCCATGATCGAACCAGCTTAATTAGTTTTTCTTATTCTATTTTTATTTTATTGTTGAAAATTAAACTAGTGCGTATTAAAATGATATGCAAATAGATTTTTTACCTAATGAATTGAATAATTTAGGCATTACAAAATAATGTAAAAGAAACAAGATTTTTTCGCATAGAAAAAAAGAACTTCACTTCCTAATTTTTTATCACCTTAATTAATTACTAGCTTTTGTGACTGAACGAATCTTCGTTCTTTTCCCTCGAAGCCCTAATTTTCGATTTTTTTTTCCTTTCATTAATCAGACTTAATTATCTTTTGGTAAGTTAATTATTTACGGTTGCTTAATTGATCACCTTTATAAGTATTGGAAATTTTACTAGTACATGACTTTAGAATGCTTCTGGATGTGATAAACTAGTCAAAATCCTAACAACGAATAGACATGGTCACGGGCCGAACCCGCCAGTGAACCAGTCCTGGCCCAGCCCGTGAACTGGCTTCTTAAGGGCTGGTTCATTGAACCAGACCCGTAAGGCAGCGGCTCGATTCCGGGCCATATATATTTTTTTTACCCCTCGGTCCGGGCCGTGTTGCAGGCCAGACGGCATGCCACGACGTTATTTTCTTTTTCTTCCTTAATGGTTGTATTGGCCCGTGACCCGCCTGAACCGGCCCATAATTATTTCGGGCCGGTCACGGGCCACGGTATTGAGGCCCGCCTGGCTGGGCTGTGTCGTGGCCCGACACTTGGCCATGTCTAACAATGAATCCCATGTCTTTTGGTAATTTCTACATGTAAAACAAGGAATTAAAAACGAAATAAATTTAAAAACAGAAACAAATTTAGTTATTTCTCAATTAAGATAGTCATTAGGAAAAAATCGAACCAGCTTATTTTCTTTTACATTACTTTGTAATACCTATTTGCATATCATTTTAATAAATAAAAAATAAAAATGAATACATGCATTATTATATGCTAATAAAAACTGAAGAAATGGTTTATGATGAATTAATAAATTTCATTAACAAAATACTTTGGAAACCCATGAACTGAGCATGAACTAAACTGGAGAATAAAACTCCAATAACAAAATGGGATATTTTTTTGCCTAAAAAAAGCATGGATTAAACCTCAAAAATTAGAAACCAAACAGGAACTTTAATTCTAAACCTACTCACGGTGGTTGAGCATTCAACCACGTACGGAGAGGACCCTCCCGAGGCACTGAACCCATCTGGTCCATCTGGCTATGCACTGCTGCCCTATTGGAAAAGTCTTCAGACATCTTTGCTGCCCTCACCGAAGCTTGGGCTGCAGTAACCAAACCCCTAGCTGCCGTCATTGCATTCGTAGCGGCTCTTGCCGCATCCTGCACTACTCTCACCACATTTCCATAGTCGCCGGCCACCACATCCTCCACCTTCCGCGACGCTTGTTGCACATGTTCTACAGCTTCGTCAGTGTTGTTGGCAGCTCTTACCGTAGCAACTATTTCTGTCCGTGTATTTGCTGCTTCATTCATTGCACGGGCGAAAGGACTGCTCACCGCCCATGCAAGCCTATGGTAGACCTCTTCAACCGCCATGTTTTGTGATTCATTCATCTCTACCAGCCTGGAACGATGCAGATTTTCGTCGCTCGCATGTTTAATTAAAACCATTGGGAAACAAAAGGTTGCGGATACGGTTGAGGAGAAAAATTTGCTCATACTCTCATCAAATACCACATTATGCCTAAACCAAATGATGTGACCAAGCAATCATAGAACCCCACATTTTCAAATATATATAACAAACACATTAGAGACGCAAATAACATGAATCAATGCACTGAAAATGAAACCAATCCCAATATCAGTCAAGATACCCAAGCCAGATGCACCCAACGATAAAGAAGGTGTCCAGAAAATATGTACAGCTGGGCTACAGGATGTGCGATAAACAAATATGTACAGCTGGGCTACAGGATGTGCGATATAATAGCCAAGTGATGGGCCATCGATTTTAAACCTATTATTTGCCAAAGCTGTTTTTCAGATGTGAATAAGACAATTTCTGCAACAATCAGCGAAAGAATGTCTGAGACGAGCCACAGGCGCCAGGACCAGTGTGTACGGACTAGGTTTCTCCAGTCTAGAAGATATGTGATGGGAGGGAGGGTGATTGGGAACGCTTGGAATTCCATATATATGAAGAAATAGGTGAAGACGACGAGTGAAGTCTGTAGAGAGAGGTTATAATAATGAGTGAGGCAGTGAGATAGAGTGAGGCAAATAGGAAAAAGGCATACCCAACTACAGAAGAGACATTCAATTTAATTGAGTTGTTTGTGTCTGTTCTAGGTTTTTGTGCTTTGTCAGTTTGTTCTTGTGTCCGTGTTTTTATTGTGTTTTAGGTTTGGGCCATTTGGCCTCTGTGCGCCCGAGTGTCACCTTTATTACCCTGTTGGGGCCCGACACTCGGTATTACCCTGTTGGGGTCTTTGTGTTGTGTTGTGTTTATTGTAGTGTTTTTATTACCCCTTTGGGGTCGTGTTCGTGTAGTTGGTCTGTGTTTGAGTTTTATTCTAGCGCTGCTAGCGGGATTCTAGGCGGTCTTCTGACCTGTCCTCCCATTTTATTCTCCCGTTGGGAGCTTTGTATTTTATTTTGTGCGCTTTTGATTTATAATAGTATCTCTATCGTTCCGGAAAAAAAAAAATTAATTGAGTTCTCAACTTCTTTAATAATATGATGAATTAATAATTTTATACAATCATACAAATTTATTGAGTTCTTTTAATATATAAATAAGACTTCCAACATTTGAATTACTATCCACAAGAGCTGGTTTGGAGTATATACTAACATATTTTCTCTGTGACTACCCATTACAAAAAAAAAAAAAAAGAGACGGTTGCCAACTAAGAAACAAGGACAGAAATTAGAATATTTAATTAGTTTATACATTAATAAATTAATTATCTTACAGTGCCATTGCAGAGTCTTGTTTTGTTTGGTTGCTCATATTGCAATAAAACTAGATTGACTTTATGGTCTACTGTGAAAGTTGCATGCCAAGCATACTATACTGGGACAGTGACATTTTTTACATATTTGAATGAATGATTTATTATTATTCTTAATTAATGAACTCTTACAAAATATGCCAATAGCAAACCTTTTTTTATACGTATAAGTCATTGACCGACATAAACATACACAACATTTAATCCTACTTTCAAAGATCATATAAAATGTTCAATTTTTCTTGAAAAAAAAATAGAAAATAAGCTGATAAACCATTGAAACATACTAATTAATGTTTTCCAGTATGAGTGATATTTTTTAAACTAGTCATTAGGAAAAAATCAAACCAACTTAGTTTCTTTTACATTACTTTGTAATACCTATTTGCATATCATTTTAATAAATAAATAATAAAAATGAATACATGCATTATTATATGCAAATAAAAACTGAAGAAATGGTTTATGATGAATTAATAAATTTCATTAACAAAATACTTTGGAAATCCATGACCTGAGCATGAAATAAACTGGAGAATAAAACTTCAGTAACAAAATGGGATTTTTTTTTCCTAAAAAAAGCATGGACTAAACCTCAAAAATTAGAAATTAAACAGGAACTTTA